AGGGGTGTGGACGAGGCCGGGCCCCCAGCGCCCACCCCCGGGTACCAGCGGGCCGGGGCTGACCTGCACTGACCACCCCCGGTACTGGATCTGCTGGAGACGCTGCCGGGGGGTGAGAAGTTTGCTTTCTGAGCAGCAGGCAGAGCTGCACTCCTGTCCTGCCCTTGTAAAAGCATCGTAAATGACGACACGCAGGGACCCAGAACTGCAAAAATAAGATCTTCGCGACCGAATCTTCCCCTAAGGACAAGATCTTTCGGATTGGAGGCAGCGTGAGAGGAGGGATGAAGAAGCAGGGTAGAGGAAGCGAGAGAACAGGAGGGGAGCGGCTGAGGGAAGAAGCCTCCTTCCCTAGGGTAGGGCGGGAGGGTATCTCGTTCTCATTTGCATTTCCTTTCTCCCCGCTAAAGCAAAAGGCGAGTTGAAGTGAAGGATAAAGCAATCATTTTTGTTCAGGAGACATGTAATAGATGACACAGGTACTCAGCTGAAAATCTGATTTATACAAACTTGCCCGTGTTGAAAAGTTCAGCCCTGTACCGACCACTAACTGGTGCTGCTCTCTCGGAGGGACTTGCCTTTAACTATTAATACGCGTAATCCCACATTTCAGCAACCTCCATGCTTTCTCACGTTCTCGGCATCTATCGACAGAATAATAACTTCAGGGAAAACAGCTAAATTTTACATAAGAAAACCAGCTCTTTGTGGAAATATGTATTTTAATGAGCTAGCTTCAAAATATTTTAAAATGACTTTTCTTTAGGAAGCAATGTTTACTTTTGGAGCAATATCGAATTACCCACGTATTTACATTATTTAGTTTTCCATGTTTGGTTTTGAATTAGGAGCCCTCTGTATCCCCACGTTGCACACCCGGATGGGTGCACGCCAACCGTCTTCTTACCTAAGACGAGCACGTCCTGAAATAAAGAAGTGTGCTGGGTAAGATGGCCGGATCCCATGTAGCCCATTGTGTAGTTCCAGGCTCCAACTCTTGCCTGAAAACATGCCAGGCACGTGTGCGTGCCCGACACCCTGAAAGGAGGGAGAAACGGAGGAGAAGGGATTTGGGCGTGACCATCCTCAGTTGGGAGTGTGTCTCACTCTCTCCCTTTCTCTTTCTCTGTCTCTCTCTGGCCAACACATGCATCTTCTGGCAAAAGTTAAAAGAGAAAACATGCACATATGCAATCAAAAAGAAAGGTCCCCTTTACGTGACATTCGGGGTGCCCTTCGGGGCTGTCTGTTACACTGGACCTGCCTTCTAAAACCTCGTGTGCTCATGGAAAAGCAGAGAGAGGCTCTGTGTGCGCCGGGTGGTGAGGCAGTGGGGTTTGCACAGAGCATCTGCTCAGACACCAGCATTGCCTGATCACTTGACAAGAGGAGGACGCATGTTTCCTTATGGTGTCTTCAAAACCTATGAAAGCTCACCTGTGCAGGGCCAAGCAGAGACCCTGTGGGAACCAGCGGTGCCCCTGCGGCGAGCCCCTCCCCACCCCATCACAGTCGCAGACATGCACGTGGGAACTGCTTCTCGCCCTGGACTGGAGAGCAGCGTGCCAGGTCTTCCCAGACAACCGCATTTTGCTACCAAGGAGAGATCTGGTCCGAGTGTGAGGTGTTCCTGGGTGAGGAGGCGGAGTTTCAGGGGTGCAGACTCAGATCCCCGTGATCCCACACGACTGGGAGTAAAGCCGGCCAGGAGCAGCCTGCGGCCTTGCAGGCCGGGGTGTCTGCCGACAGCGCCGCTCGCCTGGTCTCCTCCTTTCCTGAGTAACAGCCTCATTTCTCCTTAGGGCCCACACTCGCCATCTCGGACAGGCCTGGGTTGGACAATGATGCAGCCCCGTTAGGAGCCCCGCACTCGGCTCCAAGACGTCATTCCGTAGCTCCCCCTGGAAGGGCCGCGTGACCATAGTCTAATCAGAGAGACGAGAGCACACGGCGGGTGAGACTTCCAGGCCCTCCGAGGGGGCTGGCTCTGCTGTCGTGTGGCTTTCTGTGCTCGCCTTCCTCCTTCTTGAAACTGGGAATGCGGACATGATGGCTGGCACATCGGCAGTCATTTTGGGTCATGAGAGCTGGAGAACGAGTCACACAGGTGGGAGAAAGACACTGGTCCCGGTCCCCTTGGGCCAAGGAGCTACCACATTGCCCAGAGTGCCTGCCTCGGGGCAGCTTTCATGTGAGGAGGCAGCTTCCTTTATTGTCGAAGCTGTAGACTTGGGGTCTCCCTCTCATGTGCCCAGAGCATCCAGTAGGCGGTGAGCCTTCACACTCCGGTTTCTGCACCAGCAAGTTTGGAATCAGAAACTGCCCTGACCCCTATCACTCTGCGGTGCCTGTCCAGCAGAACGCTAAGGCCCGCGTGCAGAACAGGCCGTGCTCCCTCACCACTGAAAACACTGCAGGTTATCCTTGTGATCCCTGGACCCCACACTCCTCCTTTACTTAGGAAAAATTGTACAAGAAAAAAACAATCACTTCAAAATGCTTGTGCCAATCTCTTCCAACATGCCAGTGGGGCCGCTGTCACCACGGCCGGCAGGGGACGATTTATCACACAGCGGTCAGGCGCCAGGGCCTGCTCCACATGTTAATCCTACTTCCACTGAGGCTGCACGTCAGCCCATGGAGTGGAGGTGCCACCGTCACCCCCATGCTAAGACGGGAAGTGTGAGGTGCAGAGTTCATTTAACTGCCCCAGCCGCACGGTCACACACCCCCAGGCCAGGTATCTGAACCGCGCTCCAACTGGCTTGTTTCACAGCTCGGGAGTATTTACTGAGCTTCTGCCATGGGGTGGCCACGGCCCAGCGACAGCTGAGGCACACAGGTGTGTCTCCCCTGGGGCTTGCACACCACACACGTGTGACATGTTAGGTGTGAGAAATACTGTGGGAGACCACCCCAGAGCCTCATGGTTAGGGAGCTGGACCCCGTGTGGCCAGCCCTGCTGTTCAAATCCCAGGCCTGGTGACTTGAAAAACACACCTAGAGTTGTACGTGTGTGCCCCACGTCCCAACGGGAGGAGGAAGGAGGACCAGGGACTGCAGGGTGCCCACGACCCGCTGGGGTCCTTCCACCACCCCCAGCCCCGTCGCTCCCCAGTGAGTATACGAACCCCTGGCAATTTAAGACAGAAAAGGAGACCCCTCAGAGAAACAGCAGCCGGGGACCTCGTGCTGGGGTGTCAGGGAAGGCCTCCCCGACGCGGCAGGTTGAAGCACGGGGTCAGTTAGACCATCCACTTCACCCTGAGCCTTAAGACGGTGGATCCGGATGGTGCCTCACAATCTCCTGGATGCTGGAGTTTCCAAACGTTTGATTTCTCATGAGAAATGCAGACACGAGACCGCGGTGGGCTCGGCAGTGACCTGGAATGCACGTCCCAGGAGGTCTGGCCCTTCTGCAAGGTGACGGCCCCGGGGGGGGCTGCCAGGGTTTCGGATTTAGGGAGTGTCAGCCCCTGCAAAGTCACTCAGCCAGCAGGGAGGAGCTGGCTCCAGCAGGCACGACCCAGGGAGCAGCTGTGAGCGGTCCTCGAATCAGTTTCCGGCTCTTCCTTCCCGCCTTCGATCTCCCTGTCCTGGCGTCAATGCGAGGTTCCTGCCAGCTCTAACGCCCTGTGATGCTGCCCAGGGGACGTGACCAAGGAGAAAGATGAGGAAGGGAGTCGGAAGGGAGGGACCCCAGGTCAGGTGAGCAGGGATCGACGTCGTGGTGGAGGGGCCACCAGGACCCTGGCCTGATGGAAGGCGTTCCTTTAGGTCAAAGCATCAGAAGGGGGTTGCTCGCCAGGTGATCCGGTAATCTGGGATACCCGATCTGAGATACCTAGCGTGAGACTGGGGTGCATGCCGGCTCACCCCTCCCCTGCTCGCCCTCAGTGCCATGGAGGCCCCCAGGGGGTGGCTAGAGGGGGACAGCCGTCCGCGCTCACCTCCTTAGCCTGAAAGCTTTCATCTGCAGGGACCCCCTTCGCTCAAGGCGATCGAAGCGTCTCATGATGGGATCTGGAGGGCTCCTCTCGACCTCCAGGAGGAACACAGGCGGGACAGAAGTTACGCGGGCGGGAGCTGCCAGGCACACTGCAGGCCGGGCTTCCGAGTGGTCTGTGACTAAGGCTGGCTGGCACATTTATCGACGGCTGAGAAAACCCAAAGCCGCACGCTGCTTGTGATGCGTATATGAGCTGTCCATTTCAGCACCCGGAGTGGCTCTATGGGAACACAGTCACAGCGGGTCACGTGTATGTCAGCGGCAGCTCTTCAGCCAGAGGAGGTTGGACTGTGGCCACGGAGACTGCGTGGCCTGGAAAACGAACACGGCTTCGTACCTGCCCCACTGTTCCCAGCTCTATGTGAGCTAGTGCCACTTTTATGTAACAATATTTATGTAACAAATAAATACCACTTACTTTATTGCCCTGAAATAAGAACCATATAATCTACCAACACTCATACTTAGAAAATACGCACAGCAGCGTAACTGAGTTATACCGGGGACATCAAAGCAAGCGGTTGGTACGGAAC